AAAACAAAGCAAAATCAAAGACCATGTATTTTCGATGTCCTATACCAGCCTGTTTATAGTCTGCACCTTGGTTTTTGAGCTCGGTCCTCGGTGGCTTGCTGAACGCAAAAACGCTGAGTACCAATAGTTATGGCTGGAGATGAGCAAGATAATCATGATAATTAATACTTTTAACGAAATATATAAACAATTACCATTTGGGAACAAGCTTACAAACCAGTGTGCAGTCGACGAACATCCAGTATAGGGCATAGGAAATGCACGACCGCCGTGTTTGCTTTATTTTTATTACTTTACCCCATCTGACATTAGTTCTCGCAAAAATAGACCACAGAACGTCTTCCGAAACTACATTCGCGTGGCAAATTTTAGGTGTGGACATTGGGAATTGAAATTTTTGCAAGTCGTGCCAAATGGGTTGGTTGTTACGGCCGCAACCTCACGTATATGAAATGTTTTTTTTTTCTTCTGCGCAAGTACTAGGATGGATAGAAATTGCATTTATTGCGACTGCAAGCTCATATTAAACTGACATGTTTTAAAATATCCCATGTGACATCGCTCTGAGGCACCTGCGCCCTGGATACCGTATATATATGAAGGCGGTTAATTCTCCAAAAATTACCAATTGGCTTCTGCGATGTACTACCTGCTTCAGAGAAGTAGCACAGTCACTGAATGAACATCGAAAAACATCCTGTCTTTTTTAATAAAGGGGATTTTTTTTGGTTGTTTTTCCTAAAACTTGTTCGAAATCAAAATTGTTAGATTTAAAGCTATATTTAACAATGAAGGTGAGCTTTCTAAACCATGTGAGCAAGGTTTACCGGTTTCGCCGAATATTATTTTGTTTGATTGGTGGTAAAAAAAAAAAAAACAGGGAGCACGTTGAGTGTTTGGGATTTGTATCGTTGTTTTGTTAAAGTTGAAGTTAAAGTAAACCTGGTTTGTTTTGTAAACACACCGGTGAGGTATTTTAATATTAATACCTATTACGAATTTGATTTTTTTACGGGGATAGGAATTTAGCAAGGCTTATTCAAGCAAATAAAATGAAGTCCATTCTGTAGACACTGTTTACTACGAATTTCGATGGCTTTCGCCTAGAGCACCATACTGCTTCATCGTGTAATTCGAATCTAGTTTAGGTGCTGCAGCCGTGCCAAGTGGGAATAGAACAGCGATAAAACACAACTCTGTCTGAATATAAATTAACGGCGACCTATTAAGCTGAAACCTTTTTAAGGCGAACACTGAAGACAAGAAGCTTCGAATTGTCGTCAGGGAGCTGGTGGGTCCCTAGAGTAACGCATCAAAGGAAGCTTCTAGCAGGCAAATTATTCCATGCGGTAAAAATAAAACCAACTCAGTCGGTACACTTCGCCGTCTGAGCTCTCAACGTTTTCGAATGCGATAACGTTTTATTTTGTCAAACAAGCCCCACTGGCTTTGACGCTCTCAGTCATTTGTACTAACGTACGCACTAATAAAATTATTATGAACATTACTATTATTAAGAAGGGCAAAAAAACAGATAAGTTTTTAATATGGAAAAAGGACCAGCCAAGTGCTGTGCGATGCCCCATTTTAGTCGTATACAGATGAACGTGAGGGTACCTTTATGAACTGCGCATTGAAAACATATAATATGAGTATCCCATTGCGTATGTCGAACATCCAGGCCATCCCTTGTCGCGATTCAAGCGACAGTCAGGAGAGCATGCAGCACATCTGTACTAAATCCGCACTTCTTTGCATACGCAGTGCCCACAACCCACAGCATCTGAAGTTAAAATCCGCGCTTCTGCGGATGTTTATCAATAGGTATACTTAATAGCTATACCAATGCAGTGATAGACACTTTACATTTTCATCCCCAGCGGTATTAGTCATTGCATTAATGGTCAAAGTTTCCGTGACGTTTGTAGTTTTCCCCCCAGGAATTAAAAAACTAAAAAAGGGAGCCTTTATGAATTTGGATAAATACTGGCCCTACATTTTGTTCATTTGGGTTGAATTTTACGACCTTCTTCATTGCCCTAAACTCTTATTATTTTCTTAATTTCACGTAATTAACCTAAAGTCCAGGCACGTATGGCAGGGGAGAGGGGGGGGGGGGCACGGGGCTTAGCTCCTCCCCCCCCCCCAAAAAAAAAATCTTCCATATTGTTGGGGCCTCCTCTCCCCCCTCTGCCTCATAGAGCATTTTGTCATAACCCCCCCCCCCCCTCCCCCGCCCGCCCTGAAACAAAATCCTGGCTACGTGTCTGCTAGACTCCTATACTTACAAAGAGGTATTTTGCTTATAGTATTGCTGAGTGCGCACTACCAGACGCGAGCAAATATCTCAATATTGTATTTCCAATTTTAGAGTTTTGAAATTCCGGAAAGCCGGATCCGCGACTCAGAAGTTATCGCTCCGTTCAGTTTCACTTATCTCTCAAGAAGTGAATAGAAGTAGATGCACAGTCAAAATAACTAGGGTGTATCACCCTCTAGAATGTGAACGCTTTTATCAGTTACATTGGTGACTTCTTTTTACGTCGCTTTGCCTAAAAAAAAAATTAAGTTGATGACCTAGTTGATTGAATACCATAAAATTATTAGCGCGAAAAACAAGGGACAATGGACAATATTAGTGCCTCTCCTGTCTTGTCCTCCCTTGTCCTTTGTCCTTTGTTTTAATATTTTTATGGTTTTACCTCGAGCAAGAGCATTCAAGTGTGTACAGAGATGTGCTTTTAAATACGTTTTAAACCCGGTGGATCACGCTTTTAATAACAAACTCTTTGGGCTCAAAATTTTAACTTCGCCTAAATACCATTTTACGATAACAAACAAACAAACAAACACACACACACACACACACACAAACACACACAAACACTCACAAACACACAAACACGCATTCACGCGCGCGCCCACACGCACGCACGCGCGCGCACACAAACACACAGGCACAAAGGGTGTATTTGTGTGTACCAGCATTCAGGCTTCGGCTGTTCCTGGACACAAGAAAGAAAGAATAAAGAATCCGTGCAACGCCATTTAAATTAATTAGTATTGACGAAGTTAGTTTCTTTACGTTTGCGGAAAAAGTGCACAATGAACCATGCTCGAAGGAAGCCAAATTCGAGTTCCTTGGATATAGAGCGAGTCGTGTTAAAACCATGCTTCACTTTTCTTTTTTATTTTTTTTTGTACGGCAAGATGAGAATTAGATTCAGGTATACACATACTAAACATGCAAGGATAATGAATCTCTTTTTTTTTTTTCGTACACGCCTATCAAGTGACGCACATGATCAGTTGTCTGTAAGTTTTATTTCGAGCGTAGTCAAATATTTTTTTTTTTTTCAATCTGCCTAGTGTCACGCGGAGAAAAAAATTTAAGAGATAAGAGTGAGCGGATGTTATTTTCAAAACCGCGACGATCGTCATGCAGGAAACAGCGTACGCATTTCGTATTTTTATTTTACATGGGCACCATGACCGCTTGAAGTTCCTAGATAAGAGCTTCCTACAAGTAGCGACATTCTTTAAAGCGCACACTACGTGACTGTGCAGGTTTTAGGAAGCGAATGGCTGCGCACAGCGGAGGACTGTACTGAATGACGCCATTTTGTTTCAGCGCAATGTGCTTTGACATTTGTATTGTTACTCGTTACTAGCAAAAAGAAGTGGGAAGTGATTTTATAACAGCTAAATGGCAGTCGGTGTAAAACCAAACTTACACTTCCAAAAAAAAAACACAAAAATTATGTTTTTTTTTTGTTTTTGTTTTTTTATAGCAAACGCTGCGATCGAAATGTTTGATGCTCGCACGTTTTTACGGCTACTCTCTCGAGTAACAATTTTACTTTTGGGGAAGTACACTGTTGTGTTAAGTTGACCATTTGGTGACGGTGCAAGCTTAAGAGTTACGGAGGAAGTGGAATTTACTTTCTGAGAGTTGTATGAGTGTAATTTAAATATCCTACCACGTTGAAGGTTCGATAAATAATTAAAAAGGACAGGCTACACGCGTACTTAAAGAGAATGCGTAGACGTTTATGTGAAAAGGTTGTGCCACCCTCGTAAATTTATTAAATCATTTTGCGCGCGCAGGTTCTGTTTCGGAACGTTTGCTGGTCACATTGCATATTCGATATAATAGTAAATACCATATTTAGTATCTAGCATTTTCGACTCGCAGTTTGTCTACGGTGATGCAGCATGGGTGCGTTACGTTCACGTGTATGCGTCTTACTCAGCATCCGGCTTCAGGCAGCGTTTGGTTGAACCCTATATGTTTTTTTTCCATCTGATTTATTTCATGTTGCTCGCCATTTGATGACATGTTTTTTGTACGACAATTTATGTTTCTCGATATATGATGCCCCACGAGCTGTACAAGTTATTGCCCGCACAGTATTTTTTTTTTTTCATATCCCCCGACATTTGTTAAGTGCGTTGGCCTCTGGCAATGCGCGCCTAGACAACCATCTTTGTTCGTTAAGTTGTCAATGAGAAAACCAGGCAACGTCATGGTTGGCGCCTAGATTAGGGTTAGCTCCGCATCGCTAGCTTATTCGCGGAAAGTAACTGTAATAAAATAAAAAGTACATTCGGAACACACAACTCGATTTTTGTACTTCTGATTGCAATCGCATCTCCAAAGTAATATATGGTGCAAAGTGGTCTACAGCAAATTTTTCGGTATAGGACAAAAGCCGCGTCAAATAGTTTAGAGGAGCATTGTTAAATTCCAGCTTTAAATATAACTGAAAAATTGTTTTCAGTGACGACCGGAAGAAATAAAAAAAAATCATGGCCTATATTGTTTTCAGTTTTCATGTACGAGATACACTAGGGTACCGACCGGGCTCCACGTGTAGAAAAAGATGATTAATTTTGCGGTTGGTAACCTTCAACGGAGTGCCCGTGCGCTTTTATACCACAAACGTAGTGCATATATATATTGTGGAGATAGTCACTCTCTTATTAAACGACCTCGTAACATCTCGTTTGTCGGAAGATAGCACGCAAGAACTTTTGTTACACGGTAATCACACCAACAATGTTTTACTTAATTGCTGCTCTACTGTATAGCTGTGTCTCAACAGGACTCGCTTCTACGCAGACACCAGTTATTACACCTTGTTCAGGCAAGTTTATTAGTAATATCAATATTTATCTGGCTATCGCATAGTTATAAGTAATGCGCTAAAACTGTAAAAATGTTGGCCTTTTATGAAACACTTCGCAGAATATACCTTCAACCCACATTTAGTTTACAAACAGTACATTACTAAACATACACTTGCAGCTTGTTCACTTTACTTGTCAGGCTGAAATACGACTTACTAAAGTTATATTACAGGTGTTCTTCAGATATTGGAAGTGTGCTAAAAGCAAACCTTTAAATATACTTCTTTTCGTTTTATAAAAGTGCAAAATTACTACACTTTATCTATTGATTTTAACAAGACCAAGAGGGTTGTTGCGGCGCAGCTAAATATGAGGATGATGATTGGATTCGCGTAAAGTGTACAGATGCAAACCGAGGACCCAACAAATCGAAACCACTTTAGTGGATATGACCAATCAGCTGCGCGTGCAGAGACACTGCAACTGGGCACAGAGAGGCAACGGGGTGGCGGATTATTAAAAAATACATATATATCGAAGGACAGACGTGGCCTTAAGCAACAGTCACAACTAAGAAACAGCCATTTTCTATGGCTCAGTGGGCAGCTAGACGTTTTTAGACTAAAAGTTAAAAAAAACAAAACAAATTCCTGTGGGTTCTTGGAGCGTTTTACTAAGTAAAGCAGGAAACGACAGGAAAGTCAGACTCATTTTCTTCAACCTATTTGTTGTTTCTGTGAAAATCAACCCCAACGTTAACAATTTTTTTTCTTCAAATTAGAAAAAAAAAAAAATCTTAGCTGCATTTTTAACCGGAAAAAAAGTGTGTTTGAGTACTAATTTTGTCTGAAGCGAATTCGCTGCCTAATATTTAAAAAAGAAGAAAACGGTGTTGGAAGAAGCATCACGTTCTAGATTCATGAGCGCCCGAAAGCCTTCCTCGTGTAGTTTCCTCTGATGGTGGTTGCCAGGAACGTTTTTAGACCACCGGCCAGATATGGCTAAGCGTATAATACTTTCCACCTCTGTTGCTTTGTACCCAAATAGAGTGAATGTTTCTAACATTGGCTCTTTCAATTAAAGACTTGAGCGTGTTGGTGATCTACATTGACTTAAAACGAAAGAAACACTCAAGAGGACGAAACAGACGACAGAGCGACAAGCTGTGCCGTCTGTTTCGTCCTCTTGTGTGTTTCTTTCGTTTTAAGTCAGTGTGACTCTTTTACAACACTTGTCGTATATCGTCTTCGCTCTTGAGCGCTCTAGAAATTCCACCATATGTATCTGACCCAACACTCTCATATTTTATTTAGTGCTAGCTGTGCGTTTTAATGACAATGTATTGCTGGAGATCAGCTGGTGTGTTTTAATATTGTACATTTAAATGGATTAAGTCAGTAGCAATTCACGTCACCTCGGTGACTTCAGAGGTACAGCATATCTGTGTACGTGTACAGCGGTAATCATACTTGTCCATAACGCAGGGGGGGGGGGGGGGGGGGGGGGGGCGCTTTCTCCAGGGACCGCTCGACTGGCGGCATTCGCGAAGCCGATCTAGACACGTTGGGCAACATGGAACAACCCGCTCGAGGTGTGTTCCTACTCTAGCACACACTGCGTCGGCTTGATAAGAGTTATGGCGAATAATTTTAAAAGAGCAGCCTTGCAGTCTTACTCTTTTTTGATAGCGACATTGTTAAAAAATCCTCGGGCTTTATTTTTGTTTTCCATAGATAGGGCTTTATGAGTTTTGCCAAGAGCGTGATAGCAGCCTCCCGCGTTCGGCGCCTCCAACAGAGCAGGTAGGGCACACCACGAGCGGGCTGTTCCATCTTACCCCATACGATTAGATTAGTTGCCGCGAATGCCACCAGAAGGGAGCTTGCCGGAGGAAGCCACAATCAATCAATCAACCAATGGATCAATCGATCAATCAATCGTGCTTTATTGGGCTCCAAACCAGCTGGTAGGCCTTAGAAGGGATACACGACAATATATATATATATATATATATATATATATATATATATATATATATATATATATATATATATATATATATATTTAGCGAAAAAACATGAAAAGTACATTTTTCTCGAACTTTTCAAAATGAGTGAAGTTCACATGAGAATTATTGAGCCCGTGGAGCGAAAGTATGCACGCGGCTTGGTTAGGAACATCACAATCTAAACCCCGAGACACGAAAAATAAAATAACGGACGTCTTGTCCGTTATTTTATTGTTTCTCGTCTCAAGGTTTAGATTATGATGCTATTAAGCATGTCGTACATAAGCTGCATGCGTGCCAATGAAGGGACAAATTCTAAGTCAAAGGGAAAACAAAAACTTTAAATTTATTTCGTCATCGTGAAATATGAAATGAGATTTGTCTAAGTAGCAGGGCAAAGTCAACAACTGCGTCAAACACCAAATAGAGAAGCACCATATCACGAACAAGCCGTCGATCTAAAAGAGGCGAAAGACCAAACACCAAGGATGTTTTTGCATTAAATATATTAGTACATTCAATCGGAAATGGCTAAGTAGCCAAGCTTGTTTAATGATTGTTTCCACACTGTTATGTTACAGCTACACATATCGTGATCATCGATGACGTGAAAATCACGAACGCCAAGGTCGGCGAAACCATGGTTCTTTCGTACTCTGGTCAGTTAACGCAAACACTCGATGGATCTCCAAAGGTTAAGTTGACAATTATGATTAAAAAAGGAAATATCAAGCTCCCCTGCATAGCCGACCTCGGTTCCTGGTAAGCACTGTTTTTGCGGGCGTTCATGTCCCATTCGGTTGTATTTGTGGCAGCATTTTTGTAGTTTTTTTCATTTTCAATTTCAAGTTGTAGCTCCTTTTTTTTTATCCGCTATCGTTACGGCTAAGAAAGAACGACAACAGAGACGATCAAGCTGATCGGGGGTTATGTTTGTGGCTCTATCTCCCGATGGGCTTAGTGAGCAGACGACGGAGTCGCCTACTTTAGACCCAGTGTCTCGTCTGCTCCCTGCGGCCACCGGCAGATGTCGCAACAAGAGGAGCCCACACAAATTTGGTCGTCTTCGTAATAGCCTGCCGTTGACTGTGGCAAGGTTGTTCGAATTTTTTTTTTTTTTTTTACCGGAAATGAGCTACGCGTCTAAATTTAACAGTTTAAATTTAAAATATATTAAAATAGATCTTTGACCAGAACGTAAAATTTCTACGAAAAGGCCTCGACTTTTCCGACCGATTGTTGCACGATTTCCTGGACTGGTAACATCTCATACAAAGCTCTTAAAAAAAATATCAGTTTTAGGAAAATCTTGGAATGGTCGTCAGCGCTTAGTAAGGATGAAAAATGAAGTATAGCTAACTTGGTCTAATCTTTACGCCATTCGTTAAACTCGACGTGTTGGTGTTTTTCAAACAGCGAGTACGACCTTTGTGGCGGCACGTCAACGATCGAAATGCTGTTTGGAGCAGCGTGGAACAACACATGCCCGATCCCAGCCGGAAGCTACTCGAGCAGTGTAAATTTCGACATTCCCGCTTTCGCCGGTCTGTTTATCGGGGTAAGTTCCTAATATAACTAAAATCAATCAATCAACCAATCAATCAACCGATCAATCAATCAGTAGAGCAAACGCTGGAGGGGAGTCAACCTCCTCTCCAGCGTTCGGTTTGCTAAAGTCGAGAGGGGTGCGAGGAGTATCTCCTGATTTCTTAATCTGTCACCGACTATAAACCGTTGCATCGCTTATCGCTGAGGCGAAAAATGCTGAGTCACTGAGCTGTGGACGCATGCGCAGCGTCTAATACCGCACAGTAGAGAAACAGCGCATTCTCAGAAAGCGTTCCACAGCCCAGCAGACAGAGATGGCAGTGCGCAGAAGGTAATTTTCGCAAATGTCTATAGAGACTGTGAGTGTGTGTCGCTTTTGTTTCCTGCAGGTTCGAGGTTGTGTATGTCCAGAAAATAATTCATTACTTTCAAGCTGAGCTAACGCGTTACGTATTGAACCGCGGTAACGAGCTACGTTCTTAATTACTTTTTGAGTAAGTAACGAGTATTTAGTAGGGTTGGGTGTCGATTAACATTTTTAACCTGATTAATAATCGCCAACCTTTAATCGATTAATCGGTCACTTCGATTTACAGGTATAGTATCGACAAAAGAGGACGAGTAAATTTTTTATGCTTGACGTTTTTTGTGATAAACGCCGCGACGAAAAGTCTGTACAGTGCATTTTTTTCTCTCGAACGTACGTCTTGTTTTAGACACTTAATTCAATATTTATTCAAGCTTGGTTGAGTCCTACAAGCCGTTGGAACTTCGACGAACCTGGGTTTCTGCCGAGGATATGGTGCTTTTTCCCATATGAAATGGCATTAGTATTCACAAGGTTCATTAAAGCAATACCGAAAAGAGCGGACGTCGCGAATCGAAGTCGTGCCAATAGAGAGCTTTAATAGATCGTTCCTAGAAATCCAATACCCCCGACAGCGATACCCGATAACGGTATGATGCACACGGTAATTCGGCGGCGGAGTACCGAGTACCGTTATCGGAGTCATCGGAACGATCTTCTAAAACTATCTGATAAGGAAGGTGTTTGCTTGATATTACTCTGCTCTTTCTTCTTCAGGACGGCAACCTGCACATCAAAATCGAAGCCATCAACAATAATAGCGTCCTGGAGTGCGAGGAATTCGACATAAAAATAGACAAATGAACGCAACTGCTTGTCACATTTGGCCTCATCGCTCGGGGTATTTTGTCTTTACACCGACGTTTGGAGAATAGCAGACAAAGCAAATAAATAAAGGATTGTTCACGCACTGGTGGACTCGATGCAAAACTAATACATCAACCAATCAAAAGATATATATGCATATATATATTAGTAAGAAGTGCAGGGCTTGACTGACGATAGTTTGTATGAAATAAAAAGCCACTTCAAAAACTTAACTCCGGCCTTTACTTAAAGTCTAAAGGCCAGTTAAGACACTTGCGTTCGACTGCGGTGCGCTCGGTTACGAAAGCGCGACTACGGAACGATGCGGAGTGAGCTTGCGGATAGCTTGTACACACAGTTGCGCCGAAGCGCCGTCCGCCGCAGTCAAGAACCAATAGGAGCTTGCTATCGGCTCTTGCGGCGCACCAATCGAAACCGCGACTTGCAGCCAATGAAGTCAAGCAACTATGATCACAACAAACATGGCGGCGTCCGACGGTAGCGTCGGTATGGCCGCGACTTCTCCGTGTTCGTCGGGGTTGTCGAGACTGGAAGAAACGGAAAACCTGAGGAATCTCTTCCTAGACTGCGTGCGGGGATACATTGCACGGGCGGGCAGTGAGGCGAACTGGCCCCTGGTTGTGCGGCCTACCACCGCGATGATTTTGCTCCAGCGGCGACGCCACCCCGGCCGCGAGTGGGTGCGCTCACTCCGGCGCTCCCGCGAAATTTTCGGGGAGTACCACCATCTGGTGCGCGACATGCGCCTGGACAACGGCCAGGATTTCTTTCAATACTTAAGTATGACGAGGCAGAGGTGAGTACGTGGAAGAAACTTTAGAAGCAGACGTCCTTGACCGGGAAAACGAGACGAACCGGATGTAGTTGCCAGTGCCGCCCATGCGCTTCGGCGTTCTTTTTTTCACGAATTGCGATTGGTCCACCGCAACCCACCGCATGCCCCTCCGCACTGGAAAGTTAAGCCCGGCCCAACTCTGTCGCGGTGCGTTGCGGAACGCCAAGCGTCGTCGGTTGCTAGGCGACCCGCTTCTGCAGTCGACCGCAAGCATGCCGTTCCGCACTGGAACGCAGTCAAATGCAGGTGTCTGAACCGGCCTTTAAACGTTTCGACCCGTCTCGGATCTAGACGTGTGAGTAAATGTATCACACACACACACACACACACGCACACACACGCACGCACACGCACGCACACACACGCACACACGCGCGCACCCGACCGGACATTGGGAGGCCCAGAGTTCAAATCCTGGCTCCGCCGTTTTTTGGCTTTCGCCGGGTTCCTGAAAACTTTGATTCTTTGATTCATTGGATTTACTGCTGTTCATTCATCCGCATATGTTCGTTTATATCCTCCTCGGAGACCACACACGATGGTGTGAAGTGCCCGTGTTGTGTATATATATATATATATATGCAATAAATTCAATAATCACCTTCTCCCCTCTTCGTTCATAATATTACTACGGCTGCACTTGTCAATCTTCACTCATTCCCATATTTATATAATGGGAATGAGTGAACTCATTCCCCTTATATAAATATAATGGGAATGAGGTACAAAGCTAGCGGTTGCGATGAGGCCCATCGCGCGATTTTTCCGTCTCTTATCTAGCCATAGCCTTGTACCTGCTCCACGAGCGGTAACTTTAGTGCACTACTACGCTTCTCACGCGCCCAAAGTGTTTCTGAAAATGACTGATTTAGTGGTTTTCGATGACGCTGAGCAAGTCTCTAATTGGAACCATATGTTTATTTTCATTAATTAAGAAGTTAATTAACGAATTTAATTAATTAGACGACTGATCGTTACGAGCCCCCTATAATATGTCCCCCTGGCCGTATAAGTCACCTCCACAAGCGGCATAATTGTTACTTTCACGGCTTTTTTTAAACAAATCTGTTAAGCTTAAAGAAACACCCTGTCTTGACCATTCCTCATTTGCCGATTGCATTTTTTTAGACTTATCTAAAGCATTTGACAAGGTATGCCACAAACTTTTACTATATAAGCTACACCAACTTAAACTTGATCACAAACTTCTCATATGGAGTGAATGTTTTCTTCTTAACCGTTCACAGTTTGTTTCAGCTAACAACTCTAACTCGCAGCCAACCGGTGTTTACTCCGGTGTGCCACAGTGTGCTGTTCTTGGTCCTCTCATTTTCCTTATCTACATAAACGATCTACGTTCTTGCGCTTCTTCTAACATTCTCTTGAATTGCCGATGACTGCGCGGTTTTTCGTGAAATAACTTGTGACGACGATATAACTAAATAACAGGCTGAAGTTGAGCTAGTTGGTGCATAATTTAGGTAAAAGGTCAGCTAGAACGAGAGGGACAAACACAGACAGGGAGAAACAGAGACATGCACACCGCTGACTATCAACTTAGACTTTAGATTTCTTCTTCATCACTTCGACCCACAGATTCACACCTTAAGTAAATGAATGATCCTAAATCCTTACAGTACACTACTAAATCAAAATACTGATTAAATAAGATTAAATATTAATCTTCAGTCGGACCTTAATGCCATCTTTGAATGGTGCAAAGCATTGTATATGGACCTAAACGTTAATAAATGCAAATATATGCGCGTATCTAGAAAAGCAAATCGTTTTCCCACCTACTTTCTAAATTACCGTCCCCTTGATGCCGTCACCTCTTACAAATACCTTGGTATTCACATTACAGCCGATCTCACCTGGAACGCTCACATCTCGTATGTTACTAACAACGCTAACAGAATGCTTGGATACATCCCACGTAGCTTTTCAAAAGCCCCTTCGTCCTTAAAACTTTTGTTATATAAAACCCTAATCCGTTCAAAACTTGAATATGCTTCATCTGTGTGGGATCCTTACCAAGAAAACTTAATGGGTTCACTTGAAATGATTCAAAATAATTCAGTTCGTTTTATCCTATCTAACTATGAAAGAGCCGCCTGCATAAGCTCAACGAAATCTAGCCTCAACCTACCAACTCTAGCATCTCGCCGTAAATTATTTCGACTACGCCTATTTCACAAGCTCTTTCATCACCCATATCTGCGCCACGATTTTATTTTGCCTCCCACCCGTATATCTCATCCAGGTTAGATCATGCTTTTAAGGTTGGAATTGCACTCTGCAAAACTAACGTTTTTTTTTCAGTACTTTTTCCCACGCACATCAGATGAGTGGAATCGCCTTCCCGCACTTACGGCATCCATCGAAGACCACAATCCTTTCAAGAACGCCTTAGCTATCATTGTATGATTAGGAGCCTCTTATTTGTCTTTATTAATAACTGCACACTGTTGTACTATCTTATGAAATGTAATCCACTCCCCTCTAGAATGCCTCAGACCTTGAGGGTAAATAAATAAATAAATAAATATACATTTTTTTCGTAGTGTAGTCGTACTTGACTTTCACAGTTTCACACTCTAGCGCTTCATCGCACAAGCCCTTTGTGTGTTTTCATGTGCCCGTTTATTTTAATGTGAATTTCATCTGAGGAAATGCATTTATTATCATTATTATTTTATATTATTATTATTATTACTAGACGGCCTTTTTAATTAATCACACACCCTTCTACCACCAGTGCCGTCGCCACACGGAGGTGGTTGTTTTTCTGGGCTCTCGATGGAACACAAGTTATGCTAGAGGTTTCCAGCTGGAAATCTGACACGCAGTGTTGTTGTTCTCAAAGTTTGCGCACGTACTTTCACACGCGTCACCCCGGTATACAGTGGCCGACAAAAATGATCGAAAACCTAACCGAGGCTCCGTGACGCCTCCTACTGCTGCCGTGCCGTTCGCACAAAACTATGATTAAACTCGAGCCGGGCACGCCATTTGTGTGTTTCGTAAACGCTCGTTTCCTTCTCCTGGATGATGTAAGCGACGAGTCACACTACGTATCATTTCATTATACCGAGAGTATTCCCGCGGTAGACTATAGAAGCCATGGTCTACGCGAAGCTTTTTCTGGTTGTCTGTGCCGGTCTGTATTGCTTGACGCCTTGCTCAGCCTCCGTGCAAACGCCGACGCTGTCGTCATGTTCGTGCAAGTATGGAACTGCGTACGGGGATTTTCTACGATAATTATATGACGCGTTTTTGAAAGGTTTCTAGCTTGAAAGGCACATATCTAACGGTCTGAGGCGCGCTTCTTCCTTTGTATGATGGTCCCATTGGTCAAAGCAAAGAACCATGGGCTGCCAACCGGGGGGAGGGGGGGGACAAGGGGGCTGCTTGCCCCCCAATTCCCAGAGTGGGGGGCAAGGCATGTGTCTTGCCCCTTCCCCCTTTCCTGAAAGAGCCGCCACTGGTCAGGGCAAAGTGTGGCCGGCGGCGTCTAAGGGAAACAGAGGGCACCCCCCCCCCCCCCCCCGGGGGAGGGGGGGGGGGGGTTCTGGTTTTTCCCCGCCCCCCACTCAAAAACAAGTTGGTACGCCACTGCAAAGAACTGTCTGCAGCCAGGTCCAAAGCGAAGGAAGCAAGCATGTTTGGAAAGTGCTTGAGACGTTCAGAGAATCTTGTCATCACGCCTGCAGCGAACAGCCTGTCTCTCATATGACGGTACAGGCAATGCGACTGTGGCTTAAGGGCTTCAATAACAGACTGCAATATGTATTCAGGTTATGAATACAAAGGAAATTGTGTGAACATAAAAAAGTTAGGGATTAGCCAAAAGCAGAATAGTGAATCCGAGAGGTAAGTGAGTCTTTGACAACTTGAGGAACGCAGTCCCAGTAATGTATTGTCGCTCCACAATCGAAGAGATCGCTGCATCAGTCGGTAAAAAAACTTGGAGAATCGAGTAAAAAAAGCAAGAAGCCTGAACGTTATATTTGGGGTTCCGTGGCTTTGGGAAATACCGATGAACCCCACACCGTAACCTTCGAGCTAACTTTATTAAAATCGAGGTAAAAAAAGAAAAGAAAGGATCTCGAATTAGAGATTTTTTTTTTCCCGAGAAAGACCCAGGTACCCCGGGGTAAAAAGAATTCTTCCAATAAAATTCTATTTTGTGTTTACCTCGATCACAGCCAGACTTCACTGTTTACGAGGCTCCAATTCCTTCTTCTGAAACCAGACCATTTATCTCGCTCGATTCCTTCTTTTATTGGTACCGGGACATTTCCCAGGTATCCTGGGCACGAGCATGTGGTCTCTGGAGGTTGGGGAATTATACATGCCCCTGTCCTGGTTCTTCAAGATGAGGCCTGATAAACACCGATTTATTTTCTGACACAAAAAAAAATGTCACTTAAAAAAGAGTGATTCTGTTAGAAAAATAAACTCTGAAAAAAAAAAAATGACACCCCGAATAGGAAAAAAAAAATAATAACCGCCAAAACACGGGACCTTAATTATCAACCACGCCGTACATTTCTTAAGCTGTCAGAGAGTATAAAAGTGGCGGACAATGAATCGCGTATGAGCACGAGCCTGCGAGTGTATGCAGAGCACAAGCTCGTCTGCTTCTTTCGCAGGAGTTGTGGTCAAATCAGAACGCCAGGCTCTGATTAATTCTGCTTGAAGGATAGTGCGTAGACCTCAAGGCAGCTTGCTTTTGAGGTGTACCCACTATCCTTCAATCAGAACCAATCAGAGCCCGGCGTTTTGATGCCACCACAACCCCTGCAAAAGAAGCAGACGACTTGCCATCCGCATAGGTTAAATTCGATTGTGTTGCAGCTACGCACGTTGTGGCCATCAGCGCCGTGACCATCGCAAATTCCAGGGTAGGCCGAACCATGGCCGTTAGCTACACGGGCCGACTGACGACCACGCTCAATGATTCTCCGGCACTGAATTTCACAATGACCGAGAAAACTGGAGGGGGACTGATCCCTTGCGTCGTGAACGTGGGATCATGGTAAGTCTCTCGTTTTGGTGATTTTTCTTTGTTGCTTGTTGCTTGCTTCGATTCTTTTCAATGCTTAACTATAAGGTTGGTTCACACATTTGCGTTTGAGTGTTGCGATATCTTTTAACCGCTTAACACACTGGTACACTGGCTCTATCTATAGACTAGCCCTAGAATGCTTCTGACCTCCCTATATGTTTTTTTATAATTGATTTAGGCATATTGCCTTCACCGTGGGATTGAAATTATTCCGACAACGTTAAAAGCGACTATATTTTGGGTAGTGCGTTGATTCTACCTCGAAAGTACTGCAAAAATCATCAGTCTACTTAAACACAAATTTGAAATGTTAATAGTCTACTCTACAGATGACGTCATTGAGCCAGTGTGTTGAGCGGTTACAAGAGATCAATCACAAGACACTCAGCATAGTCAAACGAAAATGTGTGAACCAGCATTCACTGTCCGTTACTTGTCTTGGTCATGTTTTTACCGTGTCAGCCTCATTGTCTTAGCACTACTGGAACGGCGTGACTGCGATCCTGTCGGTTTCTTTTGACGTGCAGCCAGCACCAGCTCTGCGCTGGCACCAACGCGATCGAAGTACAGATCGGACAGCCTTGGAACAACACGTGCCCGATCGCGCCCTTGAACTACACGAGTGGCATTTCCATTCCAATATCATTCCTGGCGGGTGCCTTTATCGGGGTGAACTCATGTCTTGAGACGGTAGCACCACTGAAATCGTTAAGCGCTCCTTTATATTTAACTACGTTTTTCAACGTGCCATTCGAGGTCGTCAGGTTCAAGTACATCTTAGGAACTCATAGTTTCACGAAAGCTTAGTGTGGAGTGAAAAGGTTTTGCGTAACGCAACGTAACGCAGTAATAGACGAAGTTTTTGTACGGGAGCTCGAGGTGTTCTTTTTAATATAAATGTATTATATGTCTGCTTTTACAGAACGGAAACTTGCGCCTGAAGATCGCTGCAATAGAGAACGGCAGTGTCGTCGAGTGCCGGGAGTTTGACTACAAAATCGCGCTATATTAGAAGGCTACAAAAACGCGAATTAAAATTTACACTGCAAATAAAGAAATTAGGCAATTATTTAGCAATTATTTTATTCATGCATTCATATATCTCGAGTATTTCACAAGCTGCTTGACGCCTCCTTGGTGGTCAGTGTATTTGTCATTTAGCTGTAGAGAAAGACAGACGAAAAGCGACTACGTCTGACGAATTCAAAAATCGAACTCATCTGGCTTTTTAATTGCACGCGATATTCTTCTTTTCCCAGTGGCCATCGCCACATAGCCCTCCCCCCCTTTCCTTCCCCCCCCCCCCCCCCCCCCCCCTTTTGGCAATGGAGTTGTCCCACTGAACTGTCCTGGAGTGTTTGATGCGGGTCGCGGGTGCTACTGTGGAGCTCGAGGTAGCTTGCAGGCTAGGACGATCAGCCGGCTAAGCGATCGTATCGCTCTCAACAAATGCCGGCTTGAGGCGGTCAACGAACACGACCGTGTCGCGGCCATTAACCCGCCGTGTGAATGTTTTTTCGCCGCGTGCCACGACGAGGTGGGGACCAGTGTAAGGTGGCTGGAGCGAACGGCGGACGCTGTCGACGCGCAAAAACACGTAGCCACTGTTGTGCAGGTCGCTATGGAAGAAAGGAGGCTTGCTCGGGCGTGTCTGCGTCGGTTTAGCGCGAAGGTCACTGGACAGACGGGCTTAGTCCTCCACGTATGGCAATCCTGCAGTCGTCGTGAGGTCGCCATAGATGGGGGTACGTGGTAGGGCTGACCAATTCAGCTGAATGGTCAGCCTAAATGGGATTTGGCACATCTGAGGTCTTCCTTAATGGCTGTGCGCAACCCTAGGAGGACGATGGGTGGAGACGTGGCCCATTTATCTGGTGTGGCGTGGGCCACGAGGAAGGCTTTGTGGAACCGCTCGAACAAACCGTTTGCCTGCGGGTGGTAGGCTGGGGTCTTCAGGTGAGCTATGCCAAGAAGAGTTGTCAAGCTTCGGAAAAGGGCCAACTCGAATTGGCGTCCGCGATTGGTCACGATTTCGGCAGGAACTCCAAAGCGGGAGATCTAGGTGGACAGAAGCGCGGAGGCGGCAGTCTCGGCAGTGATGTCTTTGATGGGACAAGCCTCCGGCCATTGCTTGAACCTGTCGATGACGGTTAGGAACTCCAAAGCGGGCTTCGGGTAGTGTAGCCACGTTCAAGCTGCGATAGTCACCGCAGGGCGGCCAGTCGCCTGTTTTCTTCCGGACCAGGTGGAGTGCAGAAGACCAACTACTCGAGGATGGGCGAGCAAGGCCGTAGGAGTAAGTGTGCAGTCAAGGGAATTTGCGGGTAGCACACTCACTTCCGCTTGCGCCTAGTATTCGAGCGTTTCGCTGAACAGGAAAAAGAACAAAAGCGACGTCTGACAAATTCCGAAATCGAACTCCTCTGGCTTTTTAATTTCACACGATCTTCTTCTTCTTTTCCCAGTGGCTATCGCCACATAGTATTTAACCACAAATTATGAACATGGAAAAATATATTAGAAGTTATAACAAAGCAAAAGCATCCACACTCCTTTGAAATCTACCCTCATTAGAAAGTATATTAAAGTTAATATTCGCAGCCAATCTGTTCAAAATAATGCCACTTTTTCACGTTCTTAATCATCTGTTGGCTATTCAGAAAGCGTTGTTGGTGACCTCCAAAGCATTCCTGACCCTTGAAAACAATTTTGAACAGCCAAGGCATATTCAAATCTCAACGCGACCTTGCACAGGTGAAAAAGAAAAATGAGAAAGAAATGGACACAAAAACCTTGTGTCCAACGCGTAATGGTACCCAAAACTCCGAAGCTTTCATTTGTAAGTGTAGTTACGTGGTGACCAAAAATTATTCGCTGTGTGCTTTTGTGAACTTCCAGATATGTATCGATTGAATACGAGAAATAATGGTGACAGATAATTCACAAGTAAAGCTCATAAAATCTGGCTTTTTAATAAGCAATAAAATTTCTTGTTTGACTGATGAAGAAAGAGGCCATTCGAAAAATATCTCGCTGAAATAGAATCTACGTTATGCACGCACGTTCGTTTCGGCAAGAAAAATTAAGTAGGGGGTTACGTCCTTGGACGTCAGTTAGAATTGCGGTCTGTGCCATATCCGCTCGTGGATATATGATTGAATTTTTATGCCGACAAGCGGGATGCGACTCCACGCTGATATCTATGCACCGTCAATCAGAGCGGAAACCGGAAGTTGTTGCTCAAATCTGGTGCTCACGCACGCCTGCTGTAGAGGCATCATGTCGGGGTGCGCGCAGCAGTTTGCGTTTTCATGAAACTCAGCTTCCTGCCACGCGCGTTCAGCAGAATTTTATGGGTTTTTTTTTTTAGGTACCCGTAGATCCCAATCCGGAATTTTACTGCTAACGTAAAGCTTGGTTTCAACGTAACTTGGCAAGGAGAGATGGCTACGGCCGCCTTCTAGCCAATCAAAGCTACAGAGGCGAAGCACGTGGCAGCACTTACCAAGGTCGGAGATTGTAACCCAAGCAGTTAGAGAAGAGTGGAATCAGGAACTTCTCCCGTGCCCGGACCCTTTTCCGCGTGTTTCCCAGACTTCCCTTTTGTCCCCATCGAAGATTAGCCTGTCACTCAGAACTCATACAAAAGCGACTTTCTTCTCCCTCCAGTCCGTGGTTTCGAGAGCCCTGCGTGCAACTCGTAAGATAGAGTAGTCACGTGCCTACCACGGGCGCGTTGATTGGCTGGCTCGGGCAGCAGCCTTCGCCGTTGGCCGAATTACGGTGAGACAGAGTCTGCGTTGTTCTTCCGAATGGTCGTCCACCGACCTTCGCCATTGGTCAACCACTTAAAGAACGGACAGACAAGCTACGGGCTCGTGCGATAGCTGGCTGCTCTGATGCTCATGTAAAACTACAATTAAAATCGAGCTTGGAGCTGATTCTTTTATTCTTCTGGGCGAAACCGTTTACTGTTTTTTAGTATTTAAAAGGACATGTAAAGCGAGATGGGTGTCATTGCACTTGGACTGTTTCGTTGGGGTCAACACTAGCCATGGCGGGCTCAATGTTTTTTCTGGTTGTCTGTGCTGGTCTCTGCTTAGCGACACCTTGCTTAGCCACGGTGCAAACTCCGCCGCTGACGTCCTGTTCTTGTAAGTATGAGCCTGGTTATGACTCCTCTGCCGGAATTTTATGCTGCGTTAACGGTAAATTGAATATATAGAAATGTTGAGGTAGCCTTCTAGTAGTACTTGTTTTAGGGTTTTTATTGAACGGTTTCTTCGACTTGGTGAAGTATAAAAATGCCAGACAAGCTCCGTAATTTGTGCGTCATCATATCATCCTAAATGGACGGCAGTAGCTTAGAAAGAAGAGACGACGCAAAAATGTTTTTTCGCTGGTGTTTTGTTAAGTGAGATATTTCAGGAACTTCGTAAAGGATCATCCTGTGTTCCAGATTTGGCCCTCATGCCACGGTTCTCCCGAGTTTGAAGAGCTTTAACCATTTAGTTTTGTAAGGGATGCTAAAGGTAACAAAAAAATGAAAAAAAATGACAGGAACTTTTTTTTTTTAAATGCCGAATATCATTGCAGTTAAAATATTATTCGTGCAGCAATAACCTCCCATTTCTTGTGCTGTCTCACACGAATTCCGTATCTAAAAAACATTGCTTCTTCTATGGGATTTTCTATCGATGATATGGCGCACTTTTTGTTGGCAAGCATATTTTATATGCGCACATGTAACTTAATTATTGGTCCGTGTATCGCGTTTTGTTATTATGTTTTCTATTCGTCACTATTTTTAGGCAACGACTGTCACGATTGCCTTTGCGTGACAAAATTTGAAAATTGGTTTTGAAACTGGGCTCTACGCTGGCGACAGTTATGAAATCACCAGTGAGTGACCAAAGAACCAGAGTGAAAATAGTCAGTGCCGCTTTCTTGTTTTATTGCATTTCCAATCTCTGCGGGAGAAAAAAGCAAAAAAAAAAAACAAGATAAGAAGACATAAAATGAAGTTAGTTGGGTCGCCAATACCCAAAGCACATTAAATCGTTTTTAGGTAAAACAGAGGTCTCCAAACTTTTTGGCTAAGGGGTCGGATGGAGGCTTTGTCACTGTCTCGAGGGCCGGAAATATAAATGGGCAGATGTAAATGACGAAAATCTGAATAAATAATCCTAGATATCTAAGCATTTAAATCTACAATATTTAAAGTTAGTGTAAACATGGAACATAAAGATCCTAAGGTAGATGAATGCATTCACTTTATTATGAAATTTAATCATTTAGCTGCTCATGACATCACACAATAATTGGGGGCCAGAAAACATACCAGCATAAACCAGAGCGCAAAGTAACTTTGGCACGTTCACACAGGGCAGAAGACTGCTGAGAATGATATAAGTTATGCTGACCATATTTAATAGCTACGACACAGTACACCAAGCACAATATACATAGGGACGTAAATTAATTTTAACGTACTTAATTACCCAGATATGGAACAGGGGACTAGGAGTGTGGATTCTGCTAATGACAATGTCCAATTACTAATATGACCAGAGGACACGACTTACGGTAGGCAGTTTTCCCTCGTTTTTTCTGGTAATTTCGTTTACGCGGTTGGTGTGCGCCGAGGCGCCGTTTTACACGCGCTTATTTTTTCGCCAGTAGCAGCGGACGTGCTGGAAGCTGGCCGTGGGGCGGGCTCCATTGGGAGGACTGCAACCAGCCACGGGCCGGTCGGAAGACCTCCGCGGGCCGGAGTTAGCCCGCGGGCCGGGGTTTGGAGACCCCTGGGGGTAGAGCATCAGGCACAGTTAAAGCAGTTTTCCACATTTGCGTCTGACTGCGACAAAACCTGTGATGATCTCTTGTGAATACTTAAACCCAGAAAGAAATTTTTTTTAGAAAAAATAAATAAATAGGATTTATTTTATTTCAATCACTGTAGCTAGAAAATAATGATTCTCTATCTACATCTGTGTCTGAACCTGCCAATTTGATTGATCATCAATCTGTCCGATCACTGATAACAATGCGGAAGAAAGAATGACCGTAATTTTAACGTAAAGTCAACGTTACTAAAACACTCAGTTGGGAAACTCCCGTAGAGACAGCTTTGAAAAAGTGGCCCCAAACTATCTCCGCGCACCGAGCTAATGACGAACACAACGCGACCATTTATCCCGCAGCGGCCACTCGAGGAACTGCACGTGACTTCTATTTTGGCTATCAGAACAGATACAGCGGCAGAGGTTACATGGGTGCCACCCCCGTCTTCCCGGCGGACGCGCAGCGGTGAGCTACTGAAGTTAAAATGCACCTAGGGCGGGACGTGCTACCTGAAAGGCCCGATGAGGCATGGTTTTATAAAAACAATATTAATTATTCCGCAAAACCTTACGAACTAAAGATGATAAAAACATCACGCGCCCATCATTTGGTACTAAACTCCAACAAATTTCATGCAAAAACAGTCTTTTCCGTTTGTTTTTACGCAAAAACAAGCTTTCAAAAAGCTCGAGGTGACCACAGTACAGACAAATGATAAAGAGTGGCGCTGTTGTCGCATTTAGCTTGGTCTCGGTGGACGCCAGCGGCCCAGGTTTCGACGGCGAGTATCTCCCAACTGAGTGTTTTAGTAACGTTGCGTAAAGTTTAATTAACCTTTTATCTGAAACCGCCATACTAGAATTAAAACCGCTTTATTTTTTTTTAGTTAGCTAAACGCTTTATTTACTTTTCTTTTACGTTCCAATTCGCTTGAAATAAAAGATTAGTTGTGTAGTTTTCGTTTTTTTTTCGTCCTGGTTAGGCTTAGAACACTGCGGAACTGACGAACGAAGTAAAGGTTAGGTGGAAAGCTCAATGTCCCGATTTGCTCAAAATAAAACTGATTTCTGCTTTTCTTCAGCTCTGTATAAATCTTTCTTTCTCAATGCTTCTTTGATTTTTGTGGAAAACAAATGCACACACAACGACTCAAATAATAGACAAATGGTAAATAAAACCTGTTCTCGGGATTATTTTGCGGGAAATATTCGATCGAAATCATAGTGGTAAACCTGGTCCGATTTAAGTCACAATTTAAATTATGATATAAATTATCTTGATTTTTTATTATCCACTTTGCTTAACACACTGGCACACTGGGTCATGTATAGGGGAGACCTGGAACACTCCGAAGATGCGCATAACTAGACCGAAGGTTTTGGAGTACTTGCTAGATCAAATGCAAGAACTATTTATAAGAAATAGTTGTTTATAAGATTGTAAAAATTATTTCAGGCTCACGGCAAAATAATAGTGCGCACAAATAATATATATATATCTATAGAAACACAAATGGGTGAAGCAGCCTTTAAACATGAGTGTCCCAAATCCCCGTTGATTGTTGGAATGTGAGTATGTTGCAGCTACGCATATCCTGTTGGTTAATGTGCTGACCCTCACAAATGCCAAGTTGGGTCAAGCGATGCTCTTTAACTACACCGGTCAACTGTCTGCCAGCCTCACAAGCTCCCCGGTGTTCAATTTTACAATGACCAAGCAAAGTGATGGGAGTTTAATCCCTTGCATTCTGAATTTGGGATCATGATAAATCATTTGTTTCACTGCAGTTTTTTATGAGCTTACTCTTTTCCTTATTTCATTGTAAGAAATCTGACACATCTACTTTCCCGGAAAGCACTTGAGAGAGTCCATCGCTGAAATCCATGTAGGAACCCTCTTCACATGACGAGGCTGATGATATAAAAGGGAAGGTCGATGAACAGACAACTTGGTTAACGTTACGCATGATTTAAAACCGGTGACTACGAACCTGTCTGTTTACTTAGATAAAGTAACTAAACGCCGTTAATAGATTGTTACTGACTCAAAAAGTAACTAAGAACGTTGCCGGTTACTAAAATTCAGAAAGAACGTGTTACCTCAGCTTAAAAGTAACGCATCATCTTCTCGTTACTCTGAATGTGTCGTGGTCATGAAGCTGAGCACCTTCCAATATTTGCCGTCGTTAGTAATTCTTCCATGTTGAATAAGCCTAAGACTAGTTCAGAAATGAACGCATAAGTTGAAGGAACAAAAAAGGACAGCACGGCGTAGTCCTGTCCTTTTCTGTTATTTCGACTTATGTGTTCATTTCTGCCCAAGCCTCAGGTTTTTTCAACATGGTTACCATTCACATGCTCGCCTGCACCCTCACTATATTAATAGTACTTCCTCGATTTTTAACCCGTCTATTCGGGGATAACTGCGTCTGTGCTGACCTTGTGCACATCATTTTATGGTCTATCTGGCGTTTTCTAGTCGTTCCAATTACAGGCGCGAGCTCAGGTGAGAGCTAAGTTGGGCAGTTGTGTAATCCCGTCCAAATTTTTTTTCATTATCTTGTCCAAGATTGTTTCACAATCACTTCAACATGATTTCTTGCTTTTGGATTGGAAGGTGGGAAGGTGTTTCCCGCACACAAAGGTGGCGATAAACAAAATCCATGTAACTATCGTCCCATTTCCATAACAAGTATATTAATAGTCTTTATTTTAATAATAGTCTTTATTTTATGTGTCCACAAACAGCACAGGGCCTTTTGTGTGGTACACAGCAAATGCTGACAAAATAAAAAAAAGTATAAGCACAGAGAAAACATAGCTATCCCAAAAAGAACTCACAAAACAAACATAGAACACATAGCGACATCTGACAAGCAAGATAAGGTAAAAGAAGAAGAGGCACTGAAAATACAAATACAGGAACCCAAAAAAAAAGAGGGCAAAAAAACGCTCAAAATTGCAAAACACTGGGATCATGCATACCATGCAAAATTCTTGAACACGTAATCCACTCTCAACTTGCTAAATTTCTGGATACTAACTCTTTTTTTAACAGATCACAACATGGTTTCCGGAAGTTTTACTCATGCGAAACCCAACTCCTTACCTTTACTCATAATCTCCATGTCACACTTGATCAAGGTTCCAGAACTGACTGCATATTCCTTGATTTTTCCAAAGCTTTTGACAAAGTTCCTCACGCCCTTCTTCTCCATAAACTTAGTAGCCTTAACATCTGCCCATACATTCTCGCTTGGATAGAGCCTTTCGGACTAAGTGTCTTCAGTTTGTCCACGTCAACGGAACTGATTCTCCATACTCGCCTGTCAACTCCGGTGTCACACAAGGTTCTGTACTTGGTGCACAACTATTTCTTATTTATATTAATTATCTCCCTACCCGTGTCTCCTCTTATATTAGTCTTTTTTCTGACGACTGTGTTATTTACAAAGAAAGCTTTAACGACTCCGACATCTCTGCTCTTCAGACCGATATTAACAATGTAACCCAATGGTGTAACCTAATATCTCTAAATGTAAATCCATGTGTGTCTCCTGTCAAATTGACATTTGCCCTTCCTACTCCCTATCAATAACTCCACCCTCCTTCCTGTGTCCTCCTATAAATACCTCGGTGTTCACATTTTAAATTATCTGTCTTGGAATATTCATGTCGACCATGCCGACATGAATAAAAACGCTAATCAATTTTTAGGATACATCAAAAGAAACTTTTTCTTTGCGCCTCTTTAATTAAAGCTTCTAATTTACAAAACCTTAATTCGGCATAAACTTGAATATGCCGCCTCAATATGGAACCCTGGTATCACCATTGCACCTGCCGTAGAATCCATTCAAGGCCGCTCCGTCCGTTTTATACTTTCTATCATCGCACAGCTAGCACCACTTTAATGAAAGCATCTCAGTCCTTGCCCACTCTTTCTCTTCGTCGAAAGATATCCCGTTTATGCTTGTTATATAAGATATATCACTCTAACCCTACTTTCCGCCAAGCACTATTTTCTGAACCATTTCACGAACCAATCACCAATTAAAAGTTGGGATCCCTCATTGCAGCACAACTACCTTTAATGCCTCTTTCTTGCCTCAAACCTCGATTGACTGGAACCGGCTTCCCGCAGCCATTGTCACAATCACTGTCTCAGATAAATTTAAGATTGCCATTACTAACCTGTTACATGATGTTTAGTAGTATTTTTTGTAGTTTTTTGCTTTTTCATTGTTATTTGTTTTATTTCATGTACAGTCCATTATTACTAACGTGTTAAGTGATGTTTAGTAGTTATTTTGTGTATTTTTCGCCTTTTCGTTGTTATTTGCTTTGTTCGATTTAACGTGCCCCGCGCCTCTCTGTAATGCCTTCGGGCCATGAGAGAGATAATAAATGAAAGGAAATGAAATACACGTCCCCCCCCCCCCTTCCCCCCCGAAGTAACTAAATACCTCTGCTCGCTACATTATTAAAATGTAACAAAAATACGTTTATTTCTTCTCTTAACTTTTTTTTCTGGGAAAAGTAGCAGTTTCCCAAAAATCCGTGCCAACGCTCTTATTTTCCTAATTTGGGTATAGAGCAATAGGACACATCAAAATGTGCCCAATTGGGTGTTCTTTCAAAAGAAACAGAAGTTGGTATATTGCGAAAAAAAGATTTTAAAGTGTGTTTTCTTAAACATAAAATGTGCATCGTACAAACGCCGAAACTTCTACAGCCATGTCAAATTAAACGAAAAATAAAAACAAATTGAAAATACCCAATATGTGTCTTACGCCCACTGCTGTTACTTCTGAAAGTTTGCGTACTATAACTGACGTCGCCTAGTTTTGGTTCGTTGGAGAGTTAGCCTCCGTAACACGTGTGCTTTTCAAAGAAGGAAGGCTTATATTGGTGAAACAAAAATAGAGCACCTCACATCCTCTGCAGAATGCTTTCTTTGTGTTCTACCTTAGTTTTGATATTGCCTTGATTGCAGTTCCTTCATATTCAGCAGATTTGTCCGCCTTGCTGAGACCATAAAACGCGCACGTTGGCTCAGGACAGTAATGGAAATTATAGCTTGATGCTTACCGACAACCGTCTGTTAAGCGACACTTGCACACGTTTTCAAGAACAGCCTCAGGGCGCCGCCAACTTGCTCAGGTGGGGTGCGCTTGGGCGCGGCCATAATCCGATCATGAAGCGCCCAAGCGCACCCCAACATGGCAAGATGGCAGGTGCCCTGAATCCGTTCTTGCAAACGTGAATAACATCATTTAAAGTGTGCCAAGAGCTCTTAAGGTAAAAAAAAGAAAGTCGCATTAGAGCGCAATTATGCAAATAATGCCATCTTTGTAACGAAGATTCTTGCAAGCAGTTAGCCATGTTAGACAAGTGCAACCACCGCTCCGGGCTATTTTTGACAGCCCATCAACATTTGATAAAGCTCAAACCTACGTCGAAACCAAACCTACAGTTCTTTGGTTATCCACGATATTGTGGAACACCATTCTCTGCACTAAATTAAGTTCCTTTACGGCATTTGGAAGCCATCGATCACCGGTGATCGATGGCCTTTGGGCATGGTCAGAAAATAGTTAAAAATAAATTTTTAGGTCGTTAGTTTGTTACCGAACAAGGTAACTAGGTACAATTAACGCGTTACTTGTAACGCTTTGCGCACAAGTCTGGTTTAGACCGAAAAGAACTGTCTGCGCTATAACACTAAACGGAAAAAAAGAAGTACTTAACTTTCATCTGTCCAGGGAGATAGTGCCAGCCATAAATATCGCTCGCAGGCGTGGAGATAGGGCTCATGTCAAGATCATGTTCTTACCATTATCAGAACAACTTATTGACTCTGGGCTCATAGCAACTTTTTTGTTTTCCGTGCAGCGTGTACAAGATGTGCGGTGGTAACACCACGATAGAACAAGAGATTGGGGAGCCATGGAACAACGTGTGCCCGTTCGCATCCTTGAACTACAGCAGCAACGTCGGCATCAAAATACCATCTATTGCACGCTTGATCATTGAGGTGAGCTCTGGTTTTCTGAAAGCGACAGGTTGTAGGGTATTTTCGTATCTCCAATTTAACGGACACTTATTTTTGTTTTGTTTTGTTTTAGGACAGAAATCTGCACCTCCAGATCGTGGCACTAGATGGTGGCAGTGTTGTTGGATGCAAGGAGTTTGACTTCAATATCGCGCTAAGTTAGGAAAGCGTAAAACGGACCACGGAACCGGCTGATGTCACCGCAAACCCCGTGTGACTCGTCGGGGTCCGAAATTGCTATTGGTTGCAGCTGTGTTTTACTATTTTTTGTTATCCTACGACTAGATCTTAAGGGCCTTTTTTTTTATGTTAAACCGGATCATCTTTCTGAAAAGTGCGAGTCAGCGAAATACCTGTAGTAAACAGGGGTGGAAGCGCTGCGCCGATTGCGCCACCCTGCGCCAATTCACTTCCCTGCGCCAGCCTGCTCTAAAACACCAAATTCAGCTTTTTTTTCTAAATTTAGCGGAAAACGGTCGGCCACTGTCCACCATGTGGTGTGTACTTTTGTTTAGGCGTCAGTGCGGTTGACTTATACCAACTCGACTGGGGCTCCGAACCACGTGTAACCGCAGGGCGAGGCGTCGATTTTAGTTCATCGAAAGTGAGATGTCGATTTTGACTACAAAGAGCTTGATATACGAACAGATCGGTTTGGTTTCGGACATAGTTGGTTGACGCGGTTGGAGCGCGCATGCAGTTGCCCGTGGTCCCGATTTGCCGTGATCGTAGGAGTTGGTGTCTCGGCACCGGTGGGTTACCTCGGCCATCAACATGAGCAGAAGTAAGTGGTCTTTACTAGCTTTACCTGTTATTTGGTAACGTACCATATTTTGACGCTTAGCCGCTAAGAAGCACGTACTATGCTAGTTACGTTTGTTTTTCTTTGCAAACGCAGTTAAGAAACACGCGCTATGTTAGTTTCGTTTGTTTTTCTTTGAGCGCGTGCACATGTGTTAACATGAGTAAAAATAAATGGTGTTTACTAGTCTTACCTGTTATTTGGTAGCGTACCATATTTGGACGCTTAGCCGTGAAGAATCGCGAGCACATGCACATGCGTTCTCGAGCTCAATTTGTCTTGTCAAAACGAAACCAAAACCATCATTGTGTGCGCGAATGTGCTCGCCAGGCACGTAGCCAGGGGGGAGGCCCGTGGGGCCCGGGCTTCCCCAGAAATCTTCCATTTTGCTGGGACCTCCTCTCCCCCTCCCCTCTCATACAGCATTTTGTTATGGGCGCCCCCCCCCCCCCCCCCACACCCCCCGAAACAAAATCCTGGCTACGTTCCTGGTGCACGCTGTCGTGTGTTGTCTCCCGCCGTCAGACCACTGGCGAAAACAATACCCGCGATCTTAAGCGAGTTGGTTAATTGGCAGTGCTACACACTTTTTGTCTCTTTCCTTTAGCGTGGAGGAGGGGGGGTTACATCAGAAATGCCGTACCACACTCCCGCGCTGCCGATTCCTGTCGTGAACGCACCTTAACTTGCTATAGCCACTCTACTCGTACAAGTTTCGGGTATAGGTGTATATGGTGGGGGGGGGGAGGGGGGAGTTGGGTAGAGAGAAGCTGGCGGGCTTTTTGTCACGTAAGAAGGCGGGTGTTATCATTTGAGCCCGTTCTCGTTTCAACCTTCTCACTTGGCCCGTCTCAATACAACCTTTCTCAAAAGGATTTTCTCTCTTGGACCTGACGCATTTGGTCCTTTCCCGTTTCGTCTTTCGCATTCCAACCCTCCTCATTTAGGCCCGTTCTCATTTCACCCTTTTCACCTGGTCCTTTTTAAAACATCCATTCTCGCTTTGACCCGTTGCACTTGAATTGTCTTTTTAGGGTAATATTAATACATTGATATAATGTGTGTGTGTGTGTGTGTGTGTGTGTGTGCCCCACTACAGGCATACTCTCTCTGCTAAGGATTTTAACAGTGCGTCGAGGTCGTCCGGAAAAGCTACTAGCTGGCAATAAAACAGACCAACTATTTATCGCAGCCAGATCATATTTCGAGATGTCACGTTGTTTGAAGTCTCTCGACCTTGGACAACGCCACCATTTCTATAATGCTAGGGGTCTCTGTGAAGCCCTGTCTCATCAGTCAGGCACGGCAATATAAGTTGTCTTTCTTCACGTTGAGGAGACACGTTCCAATTTTTGGGAGAGTACTCTCGTGTGTATGTCAATGAGATAAGTCTATTTCACACTAGCAATTAGTTATATGCATTTATAAAATCATTATCATGATAACCTATACCTTTCTATTCCCCTCACCCCGAGCGGTGTCCTCCATCATCTCCGCCTTTCTACAAAGGGTCCGCGAAACATCAATGGTTGAGAACCACTGCTATTATGTGTGCTAGTTCTGTTCAATCAAAGTTTCCAAATTAAATGTTCATTGTTTTTTTTGCTTTTTTTATTTGCGTAGGGGAAGAAATGCAGGCGTCAATGTGCGATTCTTAGTGCGTACCTCAGTACATAACATATATCTGATGGTATGTTGGGGGCCCATGCAAGGTAAGGCTCATCAACAAAGCCGCGAAGGCATAACGACATTAGAAGCATGCCGAACTAGTGCCATTCAGCCGTAGTGCGAACGTGCGAAATGAGAATGAGTCCAGTTGCGAAAAACACGATTCGGATCTTATGAGAAGGTTCAAACGAGAAGGACCAAATGAGAATGGGTCGAAATGTGCAAGGTTCGAATGCGAAAGGGACGTTTTGAGATACACCCTAAGAAGGCAGCCTGTCCCGCAGGGATCAGCGCCTGATCAGCTACATCTCATTTTCAGTCTCGTTCAAACTGTCTTCTCTTAAAGCACTTCTACTGACTGCACAAGAACTCGATCATAAGCAAGTGTGTGGCAGTTAAGGACATGGACAAGGTGGGGAGTGGATACCTCCTGCTAAGTGATGTGGACTCTAAACTGCCCAACGTACTCCAGCGCATAAAAGAAATTGACTCTGCCCTTCAAACTGTAAAAAAGGTGAACTTCAGTTGTTTCTAATGTACACAGATTCAGCTTATAGTCACAACCCTTTTTTTTAACATGGAAGCCTGAGGGCTCTTCTAGTCAGTGTTTATGCTGTATATGTATTAGTGGCTGTGATATTTTTAAGACAATATATTTTTTCCATCTAAAGTAATATAGATATAGCTTTGTATGTTAACTTGGGTGCAGGGATTACTGTATTTTATGAACAGAGATTAAGAACATTTGTATTTAGTAAAAACGGGTCAGCAACGACTGCTTTATTTTGAAACATGTTGTGGTACCTTAATTTTTTTTATGGAGACACGCAATGCACAACATTTTATGGAGTACATAAGGTTGCGAAGCCCTTCTAGTCCATGCTTAAAGCTGCATATGTACGAGTGACTGTGGTATTCTAAAGATATAAGATACACATTTTATTTTGCATCTGAATTTTCGTCAAATGTGAGTAGCCTTGTATTTTGTTACTAAACTTGATATAGGGCTTTTTTAAGCAGTGATTGAACATGTGTATTCTTTATCAAACAAGAACTGTAGTCAGCGAAGGTAGTTTGTCTGAACCTTTCCGTGGTTTAATTTTCTGGATACATGTTTACAATTGGTCTATTAAATAGACGGTTTTGTACTGGCGTGGCTCAAGTTGTGCTTTTATTGTCGGGGCCTCCCATATAAAGTCTATCATGACTCTGGCTGCTGCCGAAATGGTTCTCAAAGCCTTTTCTTTGCATAAATTGCCGATATTCCATATTTCAATGCAATAGGAATAGAAAGGTATGTATGTATGTTACATGAACATTTTTCTGGGATGTGCATGCACATATGTTTGCTACACTTTCACATTTAGCACCAACAAATCACTTTTAGACACCTGTTTGACTTCCGTGACCTGCTCCAAAACCTACTTCTACGGCTACAAAACTTACTTTTGCCGCTCCCGAGCTGCTCTAAAGCGAGCCTTTTACTGCTCCAAAACCGCTCTAGAGTGGGACTTTTGCTGCTCCCAGCCCTGCTAAAAAAGGCTCTAGCCCGCTTCCACCCCTGAGTAAAGAAATAATTATATCCTCGTTTGTTCGTTAGTGAATAAGGATGACAGGTTTTGGTAAAAACGAGGGTTTGAGGATGAAAATGAATGTGACCCTAACCAGCTAACTTCGAGCAAGTACCTAGCCCTTTTAATAAAACAACTGGATCGGTGTGTATGTTATACATGATGAATGCCGCTCAAACGACGAAGACAAAAAGAAGAAACAAACACGGCACGACAAAGCTTCGTCCTGTTGTGTTTGTATCTTCTCTTCGTCTTTGTTGTGTACACGAGCGGACCCTGGCCGCTGGTGAAAGAAGGGAAAGACGGAGAGCATGTGATGAAAGGACTGACTGTTCAGTCCTGCCTTACGTAGGCAGCCGCAGGGGGATCGGTGGCCGAGTGATCAAGCCCACACTAGAGCCACTGTATATGGCAGCGTAGCTGCCGGAGTAGCGACACGACGTAAATTATTTAGATGCACGACTTCAGAAGCGCTGATAGTGATCTCCATTTTGGGCCTGGGAGGTTGCCATGGTAGCCGTGCTTCTAGCGACGCCGGGGGGCAACTTTTTTTTTTGTCTAGTTGATATCTCCATTCGGTCATTGAGAAGTGGTATAAGACGCTTGACATCACGGTACGGCAAGAACCTCTGTAGGAATGGTGCCTGTTTTTTTCTGAAAAGTGAGACAATTTGCAGCTCGGGGACTGTCGGGCGACGAGAGCTGCTATGGTGTCGTACGTGCACGGACAAGGCGAGTGGTTTTCGGCGCCGCCGGGATGGCGGCCGCTTCGTGGCACGAACGTACCGTCCTAGTCCTTTCGGACTTCGCTTCGATGGAACAAGATCCGATTACGCCGGCCACGACAGGACGATTGGCTTGGGACATGACTGCTGCTCAACTGCCCCATAGAGAGCGAGTATATGCTTAGCATCATACTTCTTGAAAACCCAATCATCCCTTCAAGATAAGATTTTCTCACCGACTGGCGAGGAGCGACGTCGACGGGGTTCAACCAAGAAGGACGCCATGGTGCTCTCTAGAGGATTGTTAAAGCCATCAAAGGCGACGGACGCCGGATATGAGGTGTTCTTGCCGACAGGCCAAATGGTCGTTCGGAAGTTTACCGGCATTCAAAAAGTC